TAAAATAGACCCTAGAGGCGCCTCTCTCATATATGTATATATTTGATTGTTTTTGTTTATACTTATCAATGCGCTGATTGGTTTGCTTATTTCGGTTCTTATGTATCTATCTAGTTATATAGTTCTTAACTTGTCGATTTGTTTATCTATGTTTATATGTGTTTATATTCATCAGCATATTTATTCTCTGAGTTATGTCCATTAGACAAATACACACACACAAACTATACATACTGATATATATATATATATATATATGTATATATATATATATATATATATATATATGCGCACACGTCTTTCCGGCAACCTGTTTCATTCGTTCATGAATACGTACAAGATGTGAAGCTGCATGCAACAGCGCTCTCGACATTGACGACTTACGACTTTCAATAATTCCCCCAGGTGCGTTGCATGCTGTTGCCAAACAATCTGGCCTAAGTTTGGCCAGAATTCGTTTCCCGTTTGCGGCCTGGTTCTCCTGGTTCTGCCTCGGAATGATACCGCTGGACATCGCTGGACGAACGGACGAAGGCTGCGATTTCGCAGCCATCAGGCTTCACGCCTCCAGCCTTCGCAGCTTCTGCGGCTCCTGCCTTGGCATGGTGCACATGTTCGTCGCCACGTTTGCGCGCCGGTTCCGCACCGGCCCTGTTCATAAAACACATCTTCCTTCGAAACGCTCGGTTTGTCCAAAGTGCTGAGCTTGAACGTGCAAAGGGAGTGACGTGTACGGAGACGGCCGACGCATTCGCATGGCTACTGCCGGGGTCAAGTGCCGCAACGAACTCCTTTTCGGGATGAAACAGTGGGGAAACGGATGAGTAGTTGCGACAACTGAGAAGAAAACACGAAGAAAACACAGCTGCGAGTCAGACGTGCCATAGATTGGGCAATTAATGGTGAGGCATTGCCAATTCGCAAATACGTTGCATAGCTGATTAAGTGGGCGGCATCTTGTTGATTTTTATTCGGACCTGTCATGTGCCGCGCGGCTCAGGTTCCCATTCGTCGGCGGGTTTGGAGAATCGCTACAGGATGCCGCAGTAGACGCTCTTGTGCCTTGCCACAGACTAGCACACCAGTCACGTGTGAGAGGAAGAGCCAACACCCGGGTGCCCGATCACTTCTGTCTTTTTTTGGGTTCACTTGTGTCTTTTTTTTGGGGTCGCTTGTGTCTTTGTTTTCGGGGTCGCTTCTGTCTTTTTCCTTCTTCGGAAGCAACAGTCTCGAACGAAAGGTGCCTTGGTAGGACCTCACCCCGCTCAGTTTCAGGCTCGGTATACATAAAGTGCAAAGGCATTTAGCTTGCTCCCTTTCTGCGTCCACATGCACATAGACATGCATGCGTACTCTACGAGGTGGTGTCTAAACATGTGTAGATATTTATTGTATATTACACATTGTACGCATATACGTATACCTATATGTAAACATATACGTACACATAAACACATGCAACTAACATATACAGTTTACTCCTTTTGGGGTTTCGTTCTGGGTTTACTCCTCTTAGGGCTTGGGCCTTCTTTCATTAGGGTTTCGTTCTGGGTTTACTCTTTTTAGGGTTTCGTTCTGGGTTTACTCCTCTTAGGGGTTGGGCCTTCTTTCATTAGGATTTCGTTCTCGTTTACTCCTTTTAGGGTTTCGTTCTGGGTTTACTCCTCTTAGGGGTTAGGCCTTCTTTCATTAGGGTTTCGTTCTGGGTTTACTCCTTTTAGGGTTTCGTACTGGGTTTACTCCTCTTAGGGGTTGGGCCTTCTTTCATTAGGGTTTCGTTCTGGGTTTACTCCTTTCAAAATTTAGGGTTTCGTTCTGGGTTTACTCCTTTTAGGGTTTCGTTCTGGGTTTACTCCTTTCAAAATTTAGGGTTTCGTTCTGGGTTTACTCCTTTTAGGGTTTCGTTCTGGGTTTACTCCTCTTAAGGGTTGGGCCTTCTTTCATTAGGGTTTCGTTCTGGGTTTACTCTTTTTAGGGTTTCGTTCTGGGTTTACTCCTCTTAGGGGTTGGGCTTCGTTCTGGGTTTACTCCTTTTAGGGTTTCGTTCTGGGTTTACTTCTCTTAGGGGTTGGGCCTTCTTTCATTAGGGTTTCGTTCTGGGCTTACTCCTTTTACGGTTTCGTTCTGGGTTTACTCCTCTTAGGGGTTGGGCCTTCTTTCATTAGGGTTTCGTTCTGAGTTTACTCTTTTTAGAGTTTCGTTCTGGGCTTGCTCCTCTTAGGGGTTGGGCCGATTACTCCTCTTAGGGGTTGGGCCTTCTTTTATTAGGGTTTCGTTCTGGGTTTACCCCTCTTAGGGGTAGGGCCTTGTTTCATCAGGGTTTCGTTCGGGGTCAGGTCCTACCAAGGCACCTCTCGTTCGAGACTGTTGCTTCCGAAGCGAATAAAAGACACAAGTGACCCAAAAAAAAAGACGCAAGTGAACCCCAAAAACAAGACACAAGTGACCCCCCTTCCAGCCAACACTCCTTCATGCATGGAAACAGGTGGCTTACCTAGTCAGCGAAACCTAGATGACAGTGTTGGTACTGAACACTTGCACAAGAGGGCTCATCTCTTTTTCCTCCGTCTCATGCACATGCCAGCAGTCAGCTGCGGCGCCGCCGCCGCCGGCTGCGTGAGCGGCTGCGCTTGTCGTCGGGATCCGCGCTGCAGGGTCACGAAAAGTTCAGACATGTTTCAGCATGTGCCAGAACCTCATGCTGCACGAGCACTCACACACACATACAAATGATATTGGCCACACCTTGTCGGCGCTGCCGGCGGATATCCGCCATATGGTCCGTATGCGTGTGGAGGTGGATAGCCATAAGCCTGGCGGCCGATAATGTAATATGGCATTGCGAATGGTGATCAGCCGCTTGTCAGGGACTGTGCACACTAGCAGACGACAGCAGGGATGAGAATCACATCCGTGTCCCAGCACAAATGAAGAGGTGTGGTCCCACCCCACATCTCAATACAGCCGGGCATGGCTGCATAGTAGTCAGGCGGAGGAGGTGGATAGTAGCCTCCGTAGCAGCTTCCCGGCTGGCAAGGCCAAAAACGACATGCTAATCCATGATGGCACGCGTGATGGCTTGATTTGCTTCAGAAAGGAATCTCAGCACCGGACCATAGGGCGGGTAGCCACCGTAGCCGGGTGGGGGATATCCTGGATAACCTGCTGTCCGAACATTTCACAAGGGACCGTTCCGAAAGGCCTGACTGTCCTGTCACTGCCTCCATAGCATGGCGGAGGAGGGTAGCCATAGCCTAGTGCCAGTTGGAAGCAACAGCTTCTGAAGATGTTTCGGATAGTGTTTGTTTAGTGGAGATGTTTGTGTTGGCCCCATGTTTTGCTTTGCTGTGCTTGAAGGCGGAAGAGGAGGGCGTCTACGCAATCGGAGTATATGCATCAGCCGATTACAAGACAGCTGCCTCAACCGACCCCAATGGCCAAAAGGCTCTCATTGTATTGTGCGAGACTATACTGTATTGTATTCTATTATATTCTAGCATACCATATTACACTATACTACTCTCTACAGTACACAATAGTACATCATATGACGTTATCTTGTATCATAGCTTAGACAATATGTTGTGCGATAAAATACCATATCGAAAAAACTGTTTATTGCATTATATCATGATGTGTGATATGATGTTATACTACAATGTGATACATCATGCGATCTTATCACGGCCGGCACTGAGGTTCGGCAAAGTGGAGCATTTAGGATTCAAGATAAGTTGTGTAGAGGTTTCGCCTTCTTGCCGGTTTCTTGAACCCTGGGTCTCCCCCCCTCCCCCCTCCCATACCCCAAAAAAGGCTCCTCCCAATTGTTGTGCGTGTGTCCACCTCCGAAATCCCAGTAGCTTCCGTCTCAAGATGGTCGAAGGGTGGCCGAAGCAGGAAAGCGTGATTCACGGAATCAGGGCGAGTGGAGGCTCCTTTCTTCAACGGCTCTCTGGATCGCTGCGGACCGTTTGGCTGGAGCATTGATTGCTCGAACTCTCGATCTCCGATGTAGCGACGCGTTCGCGCTTGGTCAGCTTGGGTGAAGTTGCCAAACATGCAAAGCTTGAGTGTTCGCGGTGTTCATGTTCGATGAGCCGCAGCAGATCATCCGACATCATCAGATGTGCCTGGAGGTGGCCCACCAGGACCTGGCGGCCCGCCTGGCTTCGAGGCACATGCAACTTGAGAGTGAGAGAGGAGGACACTCGGTCCGAGGATTGCGAATCTTTAGTTTCATGGCCAGCACGCAAGGATGGCCTTGACTCACCAGACACAGTGACCGTGCCTGGAGGTGGTCCATGATAAGGTCCACTCGGACCTGAGTGAAAACGGGGCTGCAGGCGAGGCAGCCGACGCAGCGCCGTCCATGACCCGAAGCACAGAGCCAGAGTAACACCATCTCCCTTGTAACAAGGCCGTTCCCAACACGACCGACATTGGCCGCCGGCGCTCGGGCTCGAAATCGTCCTGGCATGATTTCAGGAGACGTAAGGCCATTAGGGTACCCCTGCTCGTGGCCCCAAACCCTCCATGCCTTCACCTGCTCATGCGAACACTCTTAATGCAGCGCGCTCTGCAGCACCAGGCCTTCTTGCCGCTTTCTCGAGCTCGCATCACCTCCTGCAGGGTACAAATCAGCCTCTATACCGTCACAATCTCTTTCAAACGGCACGGGTGAACAGACAGGATGAGATGCGTTGCTAGTGCAACCATGCGCAACATTTTTGTCACGGGCACCGTGGTTGGCCCGTCCTGGGGCATGCATCGCTTGACCTCGACCCACTTGTTGTCGATTTTGTTAATCTTGTCATTGGAAAGGGCTGCCTGACGTCTCTGAGGCAGCGCAAGAGTCACCCCTGAGATGGCTGCAAGTCCACTCTTTGCCGGCTCCAGCAGCACATGGCAGCAGGATTTGCATGGCAATAGCAAGCATGGTGAAACATGGTCGCGAATGGAACCGTAGACTCGTAGAAGAACCGCAAAGGCTCAAAGAAGGCTCAGAGGTGTATATACTGCCCTTCAGCGCTGACCCAGGATGGCGAAATCACATCATCCAGGTCTGCAGGAGTCGCCTCAAAGACCGCGCTTCCAGATCCGGCTCGTTCAATCAATGCCGTGCCTCCTGGAAATCAGCAGACCCGAAGCCATGTCGTCCGGAACGGCCCGAAGCCTCGGCAGCGAAATTGCTTCGAGTTGCCACGTTTTTGTCTTACATGAGGTGCTCAATATCGTACGTTACTTCCTAGATCGCTTCGTCGGAGTCGGAGCTTGTGCTTTACGTTTGACAGCTTCGTACTCCTCATTGCCAAACCCATCCCAGAAGCTGAGAACCAAGCGGTCGCATTTGTAGCCAACAGGGACATGTGATGTGCGACCTGCATAGAGAGGCGCATCTGCCTTGACTGCACAGGGATCGACTGCATGCACCTGCCTGGCAGTCTTCGGTCGATCTCGCGATGTGGACCTCAGTCAGCTGCAACGTGTACGCAAAAAAACTGATTTCTCGAACCGAGTCTTAGAAGCCACGATATGGTAGCCTGTGCAATGCATGCACACACAGACACACAGACACACACACACACACACACACACACGCACTCACACATATACCGGGCACGAATCCGGAAATCACGCTTGGCAAACCAGTGCACACCGTGCAGATTCGGAAACCCGAATTGGTGACTGGGAAATCAGCACTTCGCTAGCAAGGGTGAGTGAACATAGAGGGTAAAAAGAACATCGGTTACCATAACTGGCGTTGGCGAGCAGGGATGCTTCTTTGCCTCGGAGTCTGCACTAGAGAAGCTTAGTCCTTGCTGTTCATTGCATGCCCACGGTACGAAGCTCGCACAAGAGAGGAGGGCCACGAAAGCCAGCGGCAGGAAGCGTAGCAGGGAAAGAGGCGGACGACTTGTCAAGCGAATCTATTGCAGCACAGCTAATCGAATCATTCCAGCGTGGCAGAGGCTTGGCATAATTTTGCGCAGTGAACAAAATGGTTGGGGGTATCGGCTTCGGGCCGGGTGATGTGCTCGGAATACTCGCGGCAACCGACTCTCTTTGCTAAATGCAGGCAATTGTTACGAATTTCACAAGCAAAAGAAGCAGAAAGCTGCCAGCCCGAGAATGTTGCCAGTACTAGCAGCCTTTCAGTAAGCCTTGACCTCTTAATCGAATGGAAGTCCTCAGCCCTAAACCCGACACCAATAACCCTTGTCACAAGCCCCAAACCGCAAAACCGTAACCTAGAGCCCTCAAGCCCCAACCCCTTCGCAGCCAAATTGAATCCTTCAGAAGCCTGTAGAAGGTTGGAAACCCCGTTCAAACCCCTAAGCCCCAAACCCCTCAACCCTAAAACTCTAAACCCAAAATGCCAGTACACCCCAAGCAACATTGAACAGGTGCTGAAAAAGTCGCAACATGCCGCTGCGTGAGCAACCGCAAGGTTCGCTTTTGATCACAGTGGAGAAATGAAAAAATGCCAAAAGCGCAACACTGTTGCTGCTAGCTTTAGGCTATAATGGCTGGGCAAATGCATGCGTAATGGAGCAATATCTGTGAAGTCACTCTACACCAACGCTCGCCCTGCTTAAAACTTGCCCGTGAAACTACTGCTGCCAGTAGAGACTAGTAACTAGTGCCTAACTAGTGCCGACCTTGCAGGGTCGAACACGTAAACCGCACAAAAGCATTCTAAACATGCCAGACAAGGGACCCTCAGCTAGGGTCGACGGGAGGGTGGGACCCCACCCGATCCAATCACACAACCAAAAACGTTACGGGTTGCGTGGGGGGGAGATTCTCCTTATTGCCTCTGAATCAAGTATTTTGACAATGCGGGCAGGTCCCGCCCCGCCCCCCTACAGCTAAGCGACCTGATAGGGACCCACACGCGGCTTTCACCTGGCAGCCTGTGGAGGCCTGGTTTAAAGTGAACAAGCTCCACAGAGCTACAGAGCTGCCATGGCTTTCGCCATAGATTATATTTCCAGCTTCCTTTGTAAAACGTGCGGACCATACAAGGGCCTTCAATACAGTCACACTCGCTGGATTGTAGTTGCGATTGATTAGACGTTGGCACTCGACGAAATCGCAGACGGACAACCAAAGGTCATGTGAACTATTTTGGAGAGGGGATGGACTTGCAATTGGGATCATTAGTGCACCCACTGGTTTGCCTCCACGAGTTCGGAAGAGCAGCCAGCTTCTAAACTATACGTTTGCTCAGTCCCGCAAGGTTCTCATCCGCAAATTTGAGGGATCTAGATCTCCACTTGATGTAAAACTTTTCGAACGCTTCGACGACCCTCTTGATAGTGACAAGGAGCTTGTTTGTTCTGCCGGTCGAAAACCGTGAAATAGTAGCGCAAGAACGGCATGCCCAAAATGAAGACTTCTCCAAATTGTGACTCCTTTCGTCAGCCAACGAAGGAAGTTCCACGTGCGCAGCTAAAGAGCCTCCAACGCAGATTGCTCTTGCAGCTCTCCTTATCCACCTTCATGAAGGCCCCTCTGCAATATGGGTTGCCATTGTTGTCCAGAACCTGGGACGGTGATTGAAATCAGTGACGCAGCCTTTTTCAGGGCACACCTGGCCTTGAAAATGTATGCCCGAGGTGGGAGGACCACCTGAACCGGGGACATGATCCGACTTCTCCGTGCAGAGAACCGCACACCTCTGCGCCGTCCAGCTCGAAGTACAAGGTCGGCAATTGATCCAAGTTGCTGCAATCTTTCTTCACCTTATGGAACTAGGCATCACGATGTCTCGCAACCTGCGGCTGTGACTAACAGATACTAACAGCGCCTTCTGCTTCAAGGCATCCGTAATGTGGCTTGCAGAGCGTGGGAAAGTCAAGAGCGACGTACCAGAATCGATGAGAGCCCCACCTTCACGTGCAACACACGGAGCAAGGAAGGTCCACAGTTGTAACGCTTTCCCGAGGCCCGAGGCTGTGGCAGGAAGGTTTGCAGAGACTCGTCGTGTCAATGCCATCCAGGTCCACCTGGCGACAGCCCGGCATCCGCTGGCAGGCGACGACGGACGACGGTTGCACCGGCCTTGCCTTGAACTGCGAAAGTTTCGTTGCCCAGTGGCTGTCTCCAGAAACATCCACGGACTGGAAGCCTGGGGGCACCGTGACCCGCGGAGGAGAGGCGGTGCACCAGTGGCAACATGTCCCAACGCTCGGATTATGGCCTGCATCATGAGCCATGGCGCTGATGGATGGCCCCAACCTAAGCGCAGGCACGGCGAGCGAGTACGTTGCGCTTCGCCGGAGCGCAGCGACAGGCACCGAATCGCCGAGGCGCTTCAACCAGCCCGGGCTCGCTGTGCCACCTGCGAGGGAAAGAGCGCGAGAGAGCAAGAGAGAGAGAGAGAGAGCAAGAGAGAGAGAGCAAGAGAGAGAGAGAGAGAGAGA